GAGAGAGAGAGAGGGAGGAAGGGAAGGAGGGAGGGAGAGAGAGGGGAGGAAGGCGTTGGATGCTAAGTAGAACTACAGAAACAGAAGTAGACAAATTTGGTTCACTGTTAGGAATACAGACTTGGAGCCAAGCTAATCAAATATCAAATTCAGATCCCAGCTCCACAATCTGTATCATTACTGTGTAATCTTCGACAAGGTACATAAATCATCTGTTTCCAATATGCAAAATTTGGATACTAATAGTATCTGCCACATACTTCATTGTGAAGATTAAAATAGCAAATGCAAAGCCTCTGGAATGTTCCCTTGGATATTTTAAATGCATCAGGATGACAACAGACAACAGGAATATTGGAAACTGAAAAAACTACATGTACATGCATTTAGAAATAATACTAGAGAAGACACCTGAAGGCAAAACAAGTGTTTGACTCGGAGAAGTAGGAATAAGGAGTGAGTGGCGTAGGCCTCGAGGTCAGCCTGATCTCAGAATGCTAGTGTTACTAGTACGTGTATTTACATCACAGTGATAAAAAATGATGGAATAAGCAAGCTTAGGTTGTACTGTAAAGATAATACAGTGTAGTTCTGACTGTGATGGGACATTTCTGCTTTAATACAGGGTGTACTGGGTTCCCCCAAAAGTACACTTTCTGGAGAACGAAACCTAGCATTAGAGCTAAGTCTACACCAAGATGTAAACTTGAGACATTTATCAGCATACTATAAGAATAATTAATTCCTCTCTAAACCCTTCAATTGCTTGTCCTGAATTACCAGAACTCAAGAGATTGAAAGGGTCTGAGTAACTCTGACATAAATTACTCAGATAATTTGCTGTGCCTTGATTTCACTTTTGGATATAACGTTCTGCATAACCAAGATTGGAAAGGAGAAAAGGCTGACACTTAAATAACGTTTTTTCAAGAAATCTAATGTGGAGACTCATCCAGGCACAGATTCTGTATTTCCATATCCCACAGTGGCCAGACAGCAGTTCACAGGATTAGTGTGAGAAGCTCTAAACAGGATGTGTCGGCTGATACGCAAAGAAGGGAGACCTTGCTACTTTGTGATTTCCCTTAGAATACAGCTGTCATAAATCACATCTACTAAAAATGGGATTCTTCTTCAAAATTCGAAAGCTTGTAACATGCAGCACCAGAACGGAAGCGCACTGCAGGAAGGGGGCCTTGTAACTCAAGAGAGGGACACAGAGCATAGCACAGTTTCCCTGTGGGATACACTCAGTTATTTCCCCTCCCGAATTTCTCTTTCCTATTTTCTTTCTCCTGTTTCTCACTGTAGCTCTGCTTCCAAATATTTATGAAATCCACGCCATGTGCCAGCCACCAAGCGTGATACTAGGACTACAAAGAGGGGTACGGGAGCTGTCGAGGGTCACGGCCCTCAGGTCGCTCTTATCACCTTCGGGAGCTGGCCTCACTTTTTCTCATCTATGCCCTCCTTGAGCACAGGGACCTTTTCTGATTCAGCAAAATGTGTGGCTTAGAGCTGATCACCTGCTGACTCAGGGCTGTGGTGCCCTCCAGGGAGATCCCAGTGTAGCCAGAGAGGCCCAAAGGACTGGACAGGGCAGCGGTGCTCAGTAAGTGCACCGGGAGGTGCGTAGGTAAAGTCTCTGTTGGCTGTTTTTAGACTTCCATCGACCTACTGCTTCTTTAAAATTTCAGCCTGAAGAAAGTTCACAGATAGACAATTCTCTGCTACTGGCGGCGGACGTGGCCTGAAGGTGAAACTAATAGAACGTGTCTCCTCTTAAATCCACACGATTCACACTGGACCTCTGGGGAGCAAGCAATGCAAGCAGGAGATGGAGAAATGAGTTACGTTTTAGATTTTCTGGTTACCATTAATCCAGCATGCTGAAAGAACATGTCAAGGTGGAATAATTCTGGTTTCCAAAGCAGGTCTTCCCTCTGTACCCTTTACAGGACACGGCAAACAGCCACTGTCACAGCTGATATCACAGCACTCTAAGTTCAGGGGCGGTTGAACAACCTTGAAATCTATGCAAAATAATTGATACTAGTTTTGGCTTTAGATATATAATTATGAATTCGCCAATTTCTTGACAGTAAAAGCTATACTAATGGTGTCTCTTGCTTACTGTTTTTCTAAAGGAGTTTCTTCTAACACTGGCAGTAGGATTAGGAGCTTCCTGATGCCAGTCTCTCAAGCAGCAGTGCCACCATGGTCAGAGAGAGCACTGCTGGAGGTGACCGGGAGTCACTGCCCTCTTCCTACTGGTAAATGGAATCAATGAGTACCTCACGCATTACAGATGGCAAACCGACTTAGTCTCTGGGAAATGAATATTTCATTGTCATTTCAAGATCTGCAACTGCAAACATTTCTTTGGAGTTGTAATAACTCAAACTCGGTAAGAAAAAAATACATAAATCTGCTTGTTATAAACCAATTCATCCTTGCAGTTGAAGTACACAGGGAAAGCTGTTTAAAAGGTTGAATCTAATTTTAAAGGGCATTAAAAATAGATTTAGATTCCTTGCTATCAAGCTATGACCAGTTAAGAAAAATAAATAGCAACAGAACCCTCTCACAGAACTGACATTCTTTAAAATGTTGTTTTATTCTTATTTTTCCTACACCAGGAAAAGTAAGTTTCTTAGGAGCTAAAAGGTGATGCCAGTTTATCCTTCGAACCTAACGCCACTGTCTCACCCTTTTTCCCAGGGCCACTCAGGAGCAGTGACTTCTGGTGCCAACTTCCACTCAGACCTGGCAACTTCTGCTACCTGCGAGGAGCCACCTGTTCTCCAAGCAAATTTTGGGACCAAGATTTGAAGTCATCACTAATAGAATACTCGGGCTCCTTTCCTTCTTGAAGTTGGATCCCACAGGCAAAGTGAGGCCGGCAATAAAGTCAGTTCGATAATTTTCATGCTAGGCATTTCACTCAAGTCTTAATTTCTGTGAGAAATCTTTATTTCAAGTAGATATCCATTCTTGATTTACCTAAAGAACATACAGGCCAGTTCTCCTGTTCTGTGTATGACTATAAGAAAATAAGAGGAACCGTTTCTCTCCAATATGAAAGAAAACCAGACTTTCTACTTTTTATGGAAATACTTGCCAAACTAAAACTGAGATTCAGTATAGGCTGATTTATAGGGTAATGACAAGGAGGGCTCAGGATGTTTATCTGATATATCAATTTCCTTTATTTCTGGGTTTCTCATGTCCTAAAATCAAACTCTCCTATGACAAAAAGCTAGTGAATCTGGTCGAAGTTCTAAAGCCAGGCTTAGAACTGAGACTTTGGAAGGCTGTTCCTTAAACTGAGTGGGAAACTGCAAACCTAGTAGCCCCATGACATTATTTTGTGCTCTGACTTTTAAAATCTTATTATAGTAAATTGTTCAGTTTTGTTCCCTCTCATGTAAAAAGTCAAGATGAACTATTTCTGGCAGGAGAATCTATTGTGATAATAACTGTCTTGTTTCCAATTGCCTGGAAGAAATGAGAAGTATTCTTTCCACACCCAGGGCGTTGCTAAGGCTTTACGCTTCCTTGCCTCAGGGTGTTTCCAGTGACTTCTGTTTAAGGACAAAAGCAGAATTTTCCAATTAACAGAAGACCCACCAAGCCCAAAACGGGGACAGAAAAAGGACACAGAAATGGGGGATCTGGTTAAGAATCTGGTGGGCCAGTATCGACGTCCGGAAAGGGAAAGGTTCTGCTCATTCCTGCGTCCCTTCAGGCAGTGGGCTCTCCCCGCGGCCCAGGTGCTCTGCCCAGTGGGACTGGACGCAGTCATGATGACTGCCTTCCCACGAGCCACACCGAAGCAGACCACTGCTGTCCTGCAAGCAGGGAGGCTCCTAGGCCCTCTCTGGAATACATCGATTTAATGAGACCCCTGGAGCCCCCCCCACTATCCTGACAGGTTTAATTTCCCACCAACCTGAGAATTGACCTAAAGATTAAATTGGATTTAGAGGGGGAAAAAAAGAGGGTGACTTTTTTGCATCTTGGTATTCTGAACAAAGTATAACACACACATGCTCACACTCTGGGGAATATTGGAAGAGTGCTAAATGGCCATGCCATAATTTTTCAATTATTTAAATGACTTAAAAGCAATAGCCACCTTTAAAGTGGACACTGATTGCATTAACTCCCCTTGGGCTGCTCTTTTTACTCCGCTTTTCTGTCTGGTCAAAAAATTGCACAATGGCTGGGGATTTAGCTCAGTGGTTCAGTGGCCTGCCTTGCAAGCGCAAGAACCTGAGTTCAATCCCTGGTACCCACCCCCCCAAAAAAAAAAAAATTGCACGCCTTCCCAGTGGAAAGAACATCAAACTGCAGAAGGACTTTGTCCAAGGAGGTGTCCCAGGAACTGGGCACCTTATCCTCTGTCTTTTAGACACACAGTCCATGTATTTGAAACTGTAAACATTTTGAGAGATCCTTGTTTTATTGCCGAGTGCCCCCAGACTGCCTTCCAGACTGAAACTGCTTCATCAAGCGAAGCTAAAGGAGCTAAGGCATGGCAAGGCCTCACATCTCCTGAGATCAGCAGAGTGGTGAGGAAAGGAGCTTTCAGTCTATCATCAGCGCTGAAGTAAAATTCCAGCTCTGTTTCAAAGTTCGGATTCTGATCAGAGGCTGACTCTTTCTACACATGACAGGAAATTTAATTCTAATACTTACTTGGTACTTGAATCCATTAAACAAAGATCGAATGCCAAAGTCAACTAAGAAACACAGCACATTTGTGAACCAAACAGATTCTTCTGACCAATTCTGGCATGAAGTTCCTCCAGTGAAGAGTAGCTACCTTTCTAAGACCTAGTTACCTTCTGTGCCTGTTTCTACTTGGGGAAAGAGTTGCAGTTGCTTTTCTTCCTTGATGTCACCAAATGTGCAGTGAGTCCATAATTTAAAAGCTCATGCGATTCAAAGCAAACACGAGGCCACACTGAACAGTGCTTCCCTGGGTACCACATACCGTGCATGGCTATGCAGATGTTCTTCAACCAGCGTGTTAGAGGACAGACTGGTGCAGCTGCTGTACATCTCCTAGAGAGGTGCGATTAAAAAAATCACCTGAAAACATGCAGCAAGCTCAGCACATGCACAAGTTCTGATAAATATGAAGCATGCTGGAGACGGATGAGAGGACAGCAGCTCAGGACACACTTTAAGGAAACACGAGAAACTGCGGAAATGATTCTTCTTTTACGACTGATAGAGTCTACTAAGTTACTTGGAAAAGTTTTATTGGAACAATTTAAGTTTTGAAATATGTAATGTAAAAGTTTGGTGTCTTGACCACAAGGGCACTACTTCTAGATGAAACAAACATACTGAAGTTCTTTATAACTAGGGCAATTTACAGATGGAACTGCCATATAATTGTAAAATTGGTGTTCTATCAGTTAAAGAGATACTAATTCAAACTTGATTTGATACCACAGAAAGAACTGGGACAGGTCTAGACTTCACTATAGTAGGATTTTAACGTTGTATCAAATAATAAATTATGAAGATTCTGACGCCGCCCTGGGAGGTCTAGTTTCATGGAACACTGGGTGATCTCAGTCATTCCTTCCCAGAGTTTCGCATGTGGCTGCTATGCTGTCTTTTGATGGCATGGCAAGCACAGAGCATGCAAAAGATGTTCCCTAAAAAGATGTTTACATGTCTTATTCACAAAGTATAGCACTCAGGTTTCCAGTAAAGGTGATTATAAAATGTAGTTGATGCACATTCTGCCATCCCTTGTGTACGGGCAGGCATTTCATATTCCTACAGCCTCCAATCAGCACTTAGGGGTCAGCATTATGAAATGCTAATGGGGAGGCCCTTGTGGCATGTTCATTTCAGAGGTCATCCCAAAGTTGGGTAGTTACAAGTTTTTAGAAATGGAGCTTTTATTTGGGCTTGAGAATAAACTATCCAGGAACACGAAGAAGACAAGCTCTTCATGAGGCAGAATCAGTACCCATGAGGGGCCCTATTTTGCACCAATGTGTGATTTCATCTAATAGAAATGCCTCCCAGGCCAGGAACCCTAGCACCCAAAGACTGGGTCATTGAGGGAAACAGGGAATAGAATAGAATCTCCGGTGATCGCTGACCTGTTTCAGTATCTCCCAGAGGAAGGGCAATGGATATGTATGCTAACATAATACGCTGCATTAGCAATATACAAATTTGGCTTTCAACACGCCCTTTTACAATCTTTGTGGGAATTCCCTTGAGGTGTCAAAACTCTGCAGCGTTAGGCACAACCTAGTCAATTTAAGGGGGAAGAAAGGATGATCTCCAAAGAGCACTCACTGCTTTATTCTTTCCTTTGCCAGCAGAGCCCGAAGGGTTTCCCTTCGTGTCTGTTGTCTTCCTCCCAAGTGAGGTTAAGGGCAACGTAGACGTCTTCAGCTGGCCGGCTGCCTGGTAATTATTATTACTGTTCTGGTTGCCACTCAGGGTCTCCATGATGGACCGGAAGGTTCCAAAAGGCCTTTTCATTTGTTCCCCTGGTTCGCTGCTTGCGGAGTTCCGCGGCAGCGTCCTGCCTTTATCTTTGTCTTTTTCTCCATTTAGTTCAAGGCCAGTTTGCTCCATCTGCACCACAGGCTCCTCAAAGGTAACTCTGAGCTTCGAGTTCTGAGATGTCCGGCGCTTAGAAGATGGAGACTTGAGAGCACTCTTGGGACTCGTGGCAACCTTCGGGGTGGCAGTGCTGTCAGGGCTGCACTGAGCGGGGTCTCCGGAGGGCTGGCTCGGAGGAACAGTCCCTGAACCTGGGTACTGAGACTCCAAGTCTGGTTCACTGCTCTCTGAGGTGGGAGACGGGCTATGGCCATCCAGGGATTTGGAGGCCTTGGTACTAAAAGGAAACCTACGTCCTGACGCCAAGGAGTGCTTCTTTATTATCAGGTGTAAGCTTTCCGTGCTGTCCACGCTCTCCACCCTCTCCACGATGGGCTGTGGCCGGGGCCTGTCAGCCCTTCTCACAGGGGTGCTCTTGGGGTCTTCAGAGTTGTTGGAATCTGTGTCCGACTCGCTCAGTGGCCTCTGCATCAGCTGCCTCAGTCTGGCTAACTTCAGTTCCCTCTTCTCCAGAGGGATCTTTCTTGCATTTCCAGAACATGTGTGAGCGTCCTGGAATTCTAACGTCAGCTTTTCCTGGGTGCACACATTCTCTGAGATTTCTTTCCCCAATAACTGTCGTAGAATTTTATCGGAATCTTCATCTTTTGCTTTGGCTCTGACCCGGTTGGAGACTGACAGGCTTCCAAGAACTTGAATCCCTTCTTGGGTTCCTGGTTTGCCTTTGGCTGTAGACTCATCACCTACGTCTGGAACTCTCCACTGGGACTTTCTGGAAGCTGGTGAAGAAGGCGAACTGAAAAGAGAGTGAAAGAGATGAGCTGATTTCTTACTTGGCTAAAGTGAACCAGACAGAAGTTTCTGCATGGCTTTTTTTTTTGTTTGTTTGTTGTTTTGGCACTAATAATTTACAGCTGGGTGTGGTGGGGCATGCTTGTAATCCCAGCACTTGGGAGGCTGAGGCAGGAGGATTGCTGGGAGTTCAGGCCAGCCTGGCTACATAGTGAGTTCAAGGCCAGCCTGAAATATGTAGTATGACCCTGTCTCAAAAACTCAAACAAAAAAAATTACAAATAAGTAAGAATGGAATTAAGAGTAATCACTTAATCGTTTTTAAAGCAATTTTCAAATACTCCATAGAAGCAACCATAGCCAAAGTATAGCATGCCTCATACCTAATGACTATTAAACTTGTTTGTCTTACTGTTTACACACCAATTTCACATGAATTTTCTCATAATTCCATTTTCAACAGCCTTAAAGCTGTATATCCTTACTGTCATTTCATAGGTCAAGAAATGAAAAAGAAAAAGTAAGTGACTTGTTTATAGCCATGGAACAAAGAAATAGGAGAGCCTGAGATTAGTCAAAGACCCACAGACTTTGTCACTGTGATACTTATTTTTATCCTCCCTTCCTTCCTTCCTTCCTTTCTTTGTATTGGGGTCAAACCCAGGGCTTTTGCACCGGGCTACATTCCCCCAACTGCCTTTTTGCGACAAAGTCTCAATTCAGTCATGATGCTGCAGAGGCTAGAGTCAGACTTGTGATCCTCCTGCCTCAGCCTCCCAGAGGGCTGGGATTACACATGTATGCAACCATGTCTGACCATCATTTTCTTCAAAGATATCAGAAGGAAATCCAGAAAAAGGCTCAGAGATTTAAACTACTTAAGAACCCCATATATCAATGTGCCTGGTGTTACCTGGGTGAAGAAGGGAGTGACTGGCCCTCGGATTTCTGAGCTTCTAGGAGTTGCTGGAGTTGGTTCTGTAATGTCACACGCTCCAAAGTCTGTCTGCAGAAAACAACCCAGATGTATGTTCTCTGATATATGGCTGCTGCTACAAACTAGGACGTAAATGCTTTTTTTTATGACAATTTGTGTAAATTTCAATTAATTCAAAAGCTTAAAAAATCTGCAATCTCCTTTTTTTCTTTTTTTTTTTTTTTGAGACAGGATCTCACTTTGTAGTTCAGGCTGGCACTAAACTCACTCTGTAGCTAGGCTGGCCTTAAACTCACAATGATCCTCCTGCCTCAGCCTCCTGAGCATTGGGATTACAGGCAGGCACCACTATGCCTAGCTCTAAATCTGCATAATCTTTATTTTCACAGTTCAGAATTTTCCAATGAAAACCTGAGAGTAACCTAAATGCTTATGAATAAGACTGAGAAATAATTTAAAATTTAATAAAGAATTTAATAAATTTAATAATTTAAAATTATTTCTATAATGGCTGCTATTGGAAATGATAAATGACAATATACTAGAATACCTATAGATATACAGATATACAAAATATTTGTCTGTTTCATATATATTACATATATCAGATATATGTATATCTGTATAATAATATATATGTATAATATATAATAATATACTTGCCTTAAAACATATTACCAAATACTATGTGTAATCTTGTTTTTAAGGAAACTATCAAAATAACCAATCTAGAAGGCTATACTCTGAGTGATACTCTTTCTAAATTGTTTAAATTTGTAAAGTTATTTTATCAATATACTGATCAGAAAAAAAAAATAACTGAACAAAATTAAACTATTTCCACTTTGGATAGCAGTTAAATAATGGGGTGTTTCCATATACAAGGGGAAAATGACACATGGCAGCACTCCACTTCCTGTGGGCATAACAGCATGCTTTTCAGAATATTCCTTTAAGAGTAAACAGACCAGAAGTCACAGGTCACGAGAAGTACGACCCACTTAGAAAACACATATTAATTGCTATAGAACTTGAAATAAGTACATAAACTGATTTTTATTGTACAAGCATATGCAGTGTTTACCCTGGCATACAGTAAGGCACCCCAAAATCTCCACCCACGTTCTGATCCCCGCGAGGTGTGACTGTTACCTCACAAGACAAAAGGGAAGGAACACTGTATATTGACTGGTATTAGAATAGGAAGGTCATCCTAGATTACTGGGTGGGACCAATCTAATAACATGAGTTTGTAAGCGCAGAAGAGACAGAGGAGCAGGCAAGAGAGATTAAAGACATGGGAAGGACGCGCTCTTGATGGTGCTGGCCTTGAAGAGGGAAGAGGGGTGGTGAGCCACGGAATGCAGCTGGGACTGGCCCTCAGCAGACAGCCAGTGGGAATGCAGCCGCGACTACAAGGAACTGATTCTGCCAATTAATGGATTATTAACTGATTCTTGCCTGCATGGGCAAGACACCGACACATCCTGGAGCTCTCAGGAAGACTGAAGCCCGCCAACACCTTGATTTTAGGCTGGCAAGACCCTTACTGGCCTTCTGACTTGCAGAAGCGTAAGAAATTTGTGCTAATTGAAGCTATTAATTTTGTAGACTAGTGTTTTATATTCTTGGAAAAAAAATTCTAAGCCTGCACCTTTCTGTGTTACTGGTGTCCAACAGGCCAAAGGGCACAGTGTCCTGTAGCTACATCACATAGATGTCTCTATTCGTTTCCAGTTTTGCCTACTTCACTGAGTTAAAAGAAGTGAAAGATTAGGGTCCACAAGATTACTGCTCCTTTCAGATTTTATCTTGCCACGGCCTAACAATAACTGTCCACAGCATGTAGCTTTGGAGACACCTGGAGAACTGTGTATATTAGTGCATATTTATATTTTAGCCCAGACTCATCAACAGCGGCCAGGACATAGCTGTGAAGTGTTCACCCATTAAATGGCTACCATAGTCCATGAAAGCTTCTCAGTCTACCATATGGAGACTGAGGAGAGTGTCTTCTGACCTTTTCCGAGTATGCACCTTTAGAAAAAAACAACCCATTGGATTGTTGCTAAGTTCTTCTCATGGTTGTGCTCATGCACTACTGGAGTAGACACTGGTACAGTTTTTCTGGAAATGTTTTAGGTCATATCTGCGCACATTTTAAATGTGTGTGCCTTTTGTAAATGTGTAGGTACATGTGGAGGCCTTCACATGATAATTTATCTTTAGGGATATAAATATAGGGACATTAAAACATACATGCAAAATTATGTTTCCTGTGGAAAAAGCCAAGTTACTAAGTCATTATTCTTCACACATTTTCCCTTCAGCTACACCGAGACTTTTAAGCTTGTCCAGCTTACTGGTTTTGAGGAGGTTTTGTTCAGCTAGGCAGAGTATGCTCAGAGGTAGCCATGTATTTTTATTTTAAATTTTATTTTACTTACCAAGAAATGGCTAAACCCATTACAGAGATTATTTTAGGTGTCGGCTGAGGAGGGACACAGAAACTTGTACCTCAAAGGCAAGAGAATGGAAGCAGCGAGGTAAGTAAAGAAGGGAAAGACATTGTCATAATCCTGTGTGATTTATGCTCACAGTCAATGAAGGCCTCTTACCCACATGGGCCTTTTTCCAAATGAGTTGTATTTAGGAATACTATGTTACTGTTTATATATGTGTGTTACTGTTTATATATGTGTTTATATATATGTATATATATATAAATATTTTATACTATATAAAGGATATATTCAGAGGTCATCTGCTATATACAGTGTTTATACACACTGTGTA